TATATATATAATAATTATTATTATTAAAGAAACTATATAATCCACGTCATATTCCATTTTTAAACTTTTATATAAATGAATTATTATTATAACGAAAACCTCCAGAACTAGCCACCAACCCTTTTCTAAGGTAATGGTTACAAGTTCTGGTAGATAAAATAATGAAATTTGATGATATCAAAGATGGTATAATCTTTGATTAAATTCATAATTCCTATATAATCAAATAAAAATATAAAGAATTTTATATTTCAAATATACAGAAGTTAAAAACAGTATAAATTAGAATTAAAAGAAAAGATATTAAGCATCTGATATGTTATTGCTATGAATTTGTTCTGATGTATCTTTTAATTTAGTTTCATCTTCAATAGAATTTTCGTTTGTTTTTAATGAAATTATACTTGAACTTAATTTATTCATTATTGGATTAAATTGTTTTGATCTTTTTGTTGTAAATGAACTTCTTGCTTTAATGCTATCATTGTTTTCTCCATTTTCATCAATTTGTTCAAAAAAATTATTATCAAATGTATTTTCTTGCTTTATTTGGTCAACTGCTTTAATACATTCATTTGCACGGTCACTTCTTAAAATAATTCTTTTTTCTTTTGAAGAAATACATGGAGAAGATGAATCTAAACCAGGAGTAAATGTACCAAATTTTCCATTTGGGTTATCTATTTTTGTAGTAGTACTATTTCTTTGAAACTTCCCAAAATTAATTGATGTAACTGTTGTAATAACTGGTAACTCATCACTGCTTTTATCTGTCTTTTCATTCTGACTGTCATGAATTTCTTTAATTTCTAACTGTTCAGTGTTCGGGATTGTGTTATCACTTAATTTCTTTTTATGATTTTTTTCATTCTTAAAAAATAAAGTAGGACTTTGACTTCTTTGTATTTGAATACTACCAATAGTAACTAATTCCCTTTCATGCTTTTCTAATTCTTCTTTAAATATCATTGGATATTCATCAATAAGAAACGTTAAAATATCAATTCCATATCCAACTTCTTTTCCAGTATTTGGATCAATATTTGAATTAGCAAGAAACTCTGGATCAGGTAATGTTAAAATACTTGGAGCAAGAACAACACCTAAATTTTTTGAACTCATTCCATTTAATTCTTTCTTTTTATTAATTTCATTACACAGATAACATAAATTCATTAATAAAGTAATATTTGCATCAGGAAGAGTAAATATTATTTTTTTATATAATTCTCTTTTCACTTCAGTAGGTTCTGTTTTATTCTTTAAGAAAATAGAAATCATTTCTAATGATTTCATTGTATCAATAATATGTATTGGCATTTTTTGCAGAAGACATTTTAATAAACATGCAATAGTATCAACACTATACTCAGAAATATCAGTTACTGATATTCTTCTTGTCCCTTCTTCTATTTCTTTTAAATTAGTATAAGGAGAGAATCTAAAGATTCCTTTAAAATCCATTCCATTTTCAAGAATAAGAAGTATCATTACTTCTATCATTTTTGGTAATTGTTTGCTTGTTCTTTTTTCTTGTTGAAGAATTAAATCTAACGAATTTCCATAATATTCAATAAAATGTTCGTCTTTGACCATATTATATTGTATAATTTCTCGTTCACTACATTGTTTAAGTTTATTAATATTTATATTATCCCATATCATTCCTCCATTTTTAAATAAATTAAAACTTGCTTCAGAGATTTGTTTCATGACTTTAAAACCTTCTATGTTACATTTAATATGATAAATATACAATATTCCTAATTGGTGATTATAATTCTTTTTATCTTCTTTTAACTCTTTTCTAAGTGCATTAAATTGACTAGACATATTTGAGGTTGTTATAATAATTGATTGAAGTGAATCAGAGAACATTTGAATGTTATTAAGAGTTTCATTTAAACATCTCTGATATTCATCAATGTATCCTTTATCTTTTTTACAATGAAAAGTCATTCGAGGGAGATTAAGAGATTTGATAGAATTTAAATGAAATATTATTACTTCTAAACATTTTCTAATTTCACGAAATCCACTTTCATAGCGTTTCCAATATAACTCTTCCTCTTCAATCTTCTCAGAATAAAATGGTCGGCTTTGTTGAACAAACCTTTTCATTTATTCCTTTAAGTTCAGTTTTCTCTCTTTTTCTCTTCTATTTTAATCTTAAATTATAAAAATCTTAATATTTTGTTGATATTCATAAAATAATTGAATAATGTTATATATAACAAATTAAATATTGATGAGGTATAAAATTGACTTATCTGTTGGAACTTAAAAATTTGTTGATAATAACAAGAATAAATGGAAGATTATATTCCATTAAGAAAATTAGTGTCTGTAAGATGTCCATGTGGAAGATCAATACATGATGATAGAAATGGACCAGCTGAAATGTATACAATTAATAAAAATGGTAATGAATTAATTCTACTTTCATTAAATACAACAAAATGGGAATTTTTTTGTACAACTGGAACATCTTATGACTTTTCAATTAATTTCATAAAAGAACAAAAGAAATGGTTTCCTGAAAAGACTTGTCCATTCATTTTATCATATCTTTTCACTGAACAAAATAATGTTGTTGGATTTCTTACAGACCATGTTATTATAAAAAAAATCTTTCAAAGTTTTATAGCTTCATGTGAGTCTAGAGTTTTTGAACCCCCAACACAATCATTTCGTTTTGAAAATAATGATCCTCAGGTTGCTTCTACAATAATTAAAATTGAAGGACAATGCCCATGTGGATATAAACATCAATTAGGTAATCAAATATATGATATGGTCTTTTTATTCCAAAACAGATTAGTTGGTATTGATTTTAGAAAAAGCTTATTATCAAATCTTTTTAATATATGTGAACAATGTGGACTTGATTTATGTGTTGTGATGTATGTTTTTAAAGGATTATCAGACGCATTTTTTGAGTTGTCACAATTAACAAAATGCGACAATTATTGTCATGGAAAGAGTCAAGACTATCATCTCACCAAGAAAAAAAGAATTTCGTTCAATGGTTTAGCACTTTTTTCTAACGCTGCAATTGAAAATCAATACATTTACTTTATCAAATTCTATAACTCAATCTATAAAGGGTTTTTGTATCAATTGAGTTCATTAGAAGAATCAAACGTTTACTCATTGTATAACTTATCTGATTTTTGTGATTCATTTGATTTACCACCTCCAAATATGAAGTTAAATGAAAGTAAGGAAGAAATAACAATAAATGAAATATATTCAAAAGAAAAGAATAATTTTAAAATTGATTTGTTAAACGCACTTTCTAAGGATTGTATAGAGCTAAAGAAGAGTATAAAAGAAGACAATGACCAAACGGAGAAAGAAGAACAAAACGAAAATGAAAGAAAAGGATGTATTGAACATAAAGAATTAATTGAAAGGAAAGAAAACTTAAACTTTAAAACTAAACAAAAAGTTAAAGATAATACACCTAGTTTATCTAAAGAAGATAACAAAGAAACAAAAGAACCTAGTCATGAACTTTTGCAAGTTTCAAAGGAATTACATCAAGAACAAATCAAAATAAATAAAGGTAATAATAATGAAAAAGAAATAAATCACCAAAATACCAATGAAACAATTCAAGATAAAAAACTTAATGTATTGAAACCAAAAAAAATAACTACAGGAGAGTATGAAAGCTATGAAAAATATGGAAGTCCTAGACTATATCAAGGTATATCTAATAAAAATAGAAAATCAAATATCTCTACTTTAGACACACAAACTAAAGACAGTAGTTTAGAAATTCAAGAAAAGTTAATACAACTATTACTTGAAGCATCAAAGACAAAAGAAATGAATTGTGGATTTGAATTGCAAGAAGAAAAAGAACAACCAAAAGGGCATAAATTAGTTGAAACAGAACAGCCCAAAGAGACTAACGATGACGGTATTGAAAGTAAAGAATATCCAAAAGAACTTAGTAAAGCAGGATATATTTTAAAAATTAAAACAAAATACTCAACAATACAATTTAATGGAAATGAAGACACTACAGTTAGGGAATTGATTAGTCATATTAAATGGACAATTGAACAAGAAGGAAAAAAAGTTTATTGTGGTGTATTAAAACAAAGAACAAATCCCAAAGGAATTAACGAGAGATTAAATGAAACATTAAGTTCATTAAAATTATATCGCACAATGTTATGGTATGAATGAAGAAAAAACAGAAAGAGTATAAAACGTATATTGAGTCATTAATAAGTTTTTATTTTGATTTATATATTATAGTATTTAAACTATAATAATAATTTAAAAGAAAAAGGTACTAAAAAATAGAAAAGAAAAAATAATAAAAAATAACAAAAAGAATTATTAATGTAATAGAAGAAATGAAGGTGAAAATTCAAGAGAAGATAATTCAAAAAAGAAAGAACTTAAAAAATGAGTTACTAAAACGAAAAATAAGATGAAAGGGAAATTATTAATCATTGAGATTATTTTTCTTTCTATTTGTTATGGTAGTATTGAAAATTGTGCTAAAGAATTTAGTGAAGGAAGATGTATTGAATGTGAAAGTGGATTTACATTAAGTGTTGTACCTTCAACAGAAGGAGTTCCTAAAATAATATGTGTTTCTCAAACAACAGACTCAAATTGTGAAACAACAGCTGATGGATATTGTACAAAGTGTTATGATGGATATTATTTAAAAGACAATAGTTGTACTAAATGTTCTGAAAACTGTGAGTTATGTAATGATTTAGTTTGTTATAAATGTAATGAAACATATTTCTTATCAACAGACCAAAAAAGATGTACACAATGTACTGGAGATGATGCACCTGAATGTGGTAAATGTAAGTCAGGATATTATTTCTCAATAGAACAAAAAGCATGTACAAAATGTTCACCATTTTGTTCATTATGTACAGAATCAGATAATTGTTTCCAATGTACTGATAAACATTATTTAAATGGAACATATAATTGTCTTGAAATTGATCATTGTGATAGTAATAGTATAAAAGATGATCATTGTGAAAAATGTGATAAAAAATATCGTTTAGATGGAGGTGGATGTGTAGCCTGTACTGTAGAAAATTGCGATGAATGTTTTATTAATATAGATAATAAAGAAGAATGTTTTAAATGTTTAACAGGATTTATTCCATATAATGGAGAATGTGTTACACTAAAATCAATTAATTGTGAAGTAGGAAGTGAAATATATGGATGTCAAAGATGTATTGATGGATATTTTCTTAATTCAGATTTAGTATGTGAACAATGTGATATAACATGTAGTACATGTATTACAACTTCAAAAACATGTTTATCATGTAAAAATGGATATTATTTTGATGGAGATATTTGTAAAAAAGTTGAAGATAATTGTAGTAAATATGATCAATCAGGATGTAAAGAATGTAAAAATGATTTAGTTCATACTGGATTATATATTCCTGAAGGAGAAAAAACTTGTCATTCATGTTCAGAGAATTGTACATTATGTGATAAAGAAGCAGATCATTGCACAGCATGTGTTGCAAATAAAATGTTAAAACCGACTCTAAGTGGAACATTTACATGTGAAGATATGGATGATACATGTGAAAAAGCACAAATGGGATATTGTATTGAATGTAAACAAAATTATTTTATTGGATTAGATATGCAATGTATTCATTGTGATGAAAGTTGTGGTTCATGTGAATCATCAAATTCATGTACAAATTGTGCACCATATTATTATAGAGGAAATAATGGATCATTTTGTTCTCCTTTTAGTGAAATTAATATGACATGTACACCAACAATGACAGGATGTGCTGGTAATTGTAATAAAGGATATTATGCAGAAAATACTAGTCAAATTAATTGTACAGCATGTCCAATTGAACTTAATTGTAAAAATTGTATTTGGTATTCTGAATTAGAAGCACCAGGGTGTAAAGAATGTGATGATGAACAACATTATCCAAATAGTACAAAATATTGTATAGAATGTCAAACTATAGAACATTGTTTATCATGTGATAAAAATGGATGTAAAAAATGTGAAAAAGGATATAGTCCTAAAGACAATGGAATGTGTTCAAAGAATAATTTAAATATAATAATTCCAGTAGTAGTAATAATAATTATTATTATTGTAATAATACTTATTATTATTATTGTTATTGTCTCGTGGAAAAGTATTCATAAAAAAAATACTACTAAAAGTATTAAACCATTTAAAGTTACTTCTGATTTAGAGTTAAGTTTATTAACAGCAGATAATAAAAACTTCCCCTTAAAAACTCAAACATGGGAATTAAGCTTTGGGTTAGATAAAAATAAAGCACTTGTAGATAAAGAATATGAACAAAATATTCAAATTGCTAATACTACAAAAAAAGCTTATTTCTTTGAAGTTCTTGCTACTCCATCTCATAGGTATGATTTAAAAGTAGAACCTCCAAGATATACTTTAAAATCTGGTGAAGCAATGGAATTAAAATTTAAAATTAAAATGTTATGTACTGCTTCAGTTAGTGATGAAATTGGTATTATTGCTATGGATGTTGATGATCAAAATAAAGAAACAGCAAAAATTAATTTGATTATTGAATCTGACCTTTCATTAAAACTTGATCATACTGATTTAACTCCACAAATGCCACCAATTGGTGAAGGTGCTTTTGGTATGGTGTTTAGAGGAACTTATAGAGGAAGAGAAGTTGCTATTAAAAAAATGAAATCAAGAAATATGACTCAAGAACAAGAAAAAGAATTTAGTCATGAAGTTTCTATGTTAACTCAATTAAGACATAAATGTGTTGTAGAATTTATTGGGGCAGTTTATACTGAGGGAGAGATTGCTATTGTTACAGAATTTGCAGAATATGGATCATTAAGTAAGATTTGGGGTAAACATGAATTATCATTTGAATTAAAAATAAAAATATTAGATGATCTTGCAATAGCATTACAATTCCTTCATCAAAATCAAATCATTCATAGAGATGTTAAAGGAGAAAATGTGTTAATTTATTCATTAAATCCACACAGTGA